ATAATTATTATTATAATTATTATTATTATTATTATTATTATTATTATTATTATTATTATTATTATTATTGTTATATTACTATTATTGTTGCTGTTGTTGTTATTATTGTTATTATTATTTCTATTATTATAATTATTATTATTATTATTATTACCAATTTATCATCATTAATAACTTCATCATTTTCAACACAATTTTATCATGGAACAGCATTTCAATATAATCATTACATTCATCATCATCATCATCCTCAACATCATCAACATTATCCTCACTCTCATCAATCAGAGCTATTGACCCAACATCCTCCCTCCACCAGCCCCTCCTCACAACACCTTACTGACGCAGCTCTACTTCCAACACACAGATCTACCACCCAGGCACCGCCAACAGGTCTCCCAAGCATAAGGAGCGTGTCGTACTCAAGCCCTTAAATGACCACGTGTCCTCTACGACAAATGAACCTCCTGTGAGAGTGTACAGCAGAGGCCGCGCTCGAAAGCCACCTCCTGAGAGAAGTGAGTTTACAGTGAGGTTAAGTTTACAGGAAGATGGTTGTCTTCGCCACTTTGTAGATTTTTTAATATAAGGGAAACAAGGACAAGTGGCAGACGATGATAAAGAAAGATTAAAGAAAATGCGAAGCGGGAGAAGAGAAATAGAATAAGAGGGTTTGTGTATATGTTTGTATGTAACATCCATATGTGTGTGCGTGTGTGTGTGTGTGTGTGGTCAATTTGACTCAAAAACTTGTTCTTCCAAAAAGTCTGTAAAGTTAACCGACTATTCATTAGCTTGTCAACATCACTGTCCAATTAACTAATGGGTAAATACAACTTTAAACGTAATAATGCTCTTTGAAATAAGCATCTTATAGCTTTGTCGAGTATGCTTGATCAAATTGCTGATTATTTCCACCGAGTTAAATGAGATCTTGTAATTTTAAATGATAAAGTCCTTTCATTCCTCTCAAACCAGGCAAATTCCTACACTTAAGAATATTTTGACTCTGCCCTATCGTAATGAATTTGTCCCGTTAGTTCGATCCCTCAAACTACTAAATATTAATGTTGTTTTCAAGTATGACTCAACCATTACCAATATGTTAATAAAAAATAGCCCAAGTTCGAATGTATATGGAAGTGTTTATTGTATTCCATGTAGCAAATGTAATGGTAATTATGTAGGACAGACAGAAAAAACATTGCAGCTCAGAATCAGACAACATAAGTACAATATCAGAACAGCATCTGAAAGCAGTGCCCTGGTCGTTCATGTTAGGAATAATAATCATCCCATTGCTTGGGAAAAAAGCTTAGAAGTATTCAAATCATCTTGTGTCACAGAAAGACTTCTGGTTGAAGCTAGTTTGATTAAGGAATTAAAATCAATATACCTTAGTGACGGTCAGTTCAAAACTGATATTATGTTACACAAATTTATTTGTCAGTGGCCCAAGGTTAAAAATGCTTTGAAAACCTTGGATCTAGATGTAGGATAGTTATTTAGTGGTGTAGGTTATGTATGTAAGCTACTGTGCCGAGTAGCAACCTTGTAAATAAGCTACTGTGCCGAGTAGCACCTATGTATATAATTACATGGCAACACTGCACGTGTTATGTGGCAACATTGCCCCGAGGCTGCCATATGGCAAGGCAGTCTCAGTCTGACTCCGTGCCTCGTGCAAGGCACACGCAAGTCACCACTTGTATTTCTCCTATCCGTTAATAAATGGACTTCAGTGTTACCCGGTGTTTCCCTACCCATCACTGCTTTCTTCAGGGAACACTTGGAACCTTCAAGTGGGTCCCTTATTTTTGACCTGACCTGACTAGTCACGTCGCCCCCTTCTCTTAAGCTCTTCTACGTGTGTGTGTTGGTGTTGGTGTGGGGATTAGTGGATGACAACATTATGACCTGACCTCATGTTTAATATGGTCACCCTGTATATTTAAGCCTCTCTCTGTCCATGTAATCTAGTTGCCTCTGAAGATGTCTTGTGTATATATATATATATATATATATATATATATATATATATATATATATATATATATATATATATATATATATATATATATATATATATATATATATATATGAACGGTTAATTATGATACTGAGTTTCATCAATCAGTAAAGTCACTGTAAAGCTAAAAACATTGGCAATGTACATAAATATTCATTCAGATTTCCATGTTAATTGTTACACTTGTCTTGTGGACATGGAAATAATAAATAAACTAACCCACCCAGAATCAGATTCATGGCAGGTGGTGAAAATAGCCAGCCTCCTAGTCCCGGCAGATGTGAAATTACTGATGAAAGAAAGACTTCCTGTGTATATAATGTTAAATAAATATAAAAATACGTTTATGTTTTCTTAGATGTTGCGGGCCGACAAGAAGACATCGATGATACGACTAGTTCTTTATTGGCGTCTAGACGACCCGAAGACACTGCTCGCCACGCCCAAACGCCTACACGCCACACAGACAGAAGTTACACATCCAGTGGTCAAAGAACTAGAGGTCCCAAACCCGGAAGTCAACTACCTATGGGTCATACGCGAGCAGGTGACAGTCAGGCTGTGCCCGGAGTATTGACCTGTCCGGAACATAATGGACTCTTCCCCTACATACAGGTACAGCACAGATTAGTGTGTGTGTGTGTGTCTGTGTGTGTGTGTGTGTGTGTCCCTGATTGAGATACATTAATTTTTTCAGAGAAATTATCTTAGTGATAAACACCTGACAATAAAACTTTCAAGGGATCACAACTAATCTATTATTATTGAGGAAGAAGACAACGACTCTCTCTCTCTCTCTCAGTTTCCACTTTCAGAATTTGTTTCCTCTCCCCATCAGGACTGTTCAAAATTCATCAACTGCGCCAATACACGTCCACACCTTCAGTCATGCGGTCCAGGTACCCTCTTCAATCTAGCTACCTCCACTTGCGACTGGCCACACGCTGTTACCTGTGCTACAGCAGAAGACGTGGACATCACAGCCTCCCACACGTCGGACACACAAGGACCACCCCCCCACGCCAGAAATAGACAAGAAACCCCCTCTCACGCCACGGACACACAAGGACCACCTCCCCACGCCAGAAATAGACAAGAAACCCCCTCTCACGCCACGGACACACAAGGACCACCCTCTGGACCAAACAGAGGAGGTGGCAGAGGTTCATCCGCGTGGTCTTTTCGTGATGCTGTGAGTGCAGTTGTGGTGTTGCATTGATAGTATTAGTAGTAGTGTAAGGGGCACGTTTCTCCTCTTTACCCTATTTCATATATTTATTCTTTTCAATACTTCTATACTTATATTCTTGTGTATATATTTATTAATAATTTTATATTTTGAGTCCTTCTCTCCATAATTATATATCTTATATTTCTTTGCTTATATTTTCTAAGTCAATATTCTTTTCTTTACTTCATTCCTTCTTTCATATATATTATTTTATTTTCTGAATTTTATGCCCTTACTTTCACGCAATTATATCCTGCTTTAGTTATATTCTAGACCATGGATTAATCTGGGAAACCATGTCATTCTTACTATAACACTTATTATACTTACAACGGTAGCCTGCCACCACCCAGACTTTTATTAGAATATAACATATCTCATTGAACTGTTAGGTAGCGTGCTAACGAGCTTCTAGGTACGTGAGTTACAATAGTTTTTTATATCAATTCATAAACTCGCCCACTAGAGGAAATAATATCCTCGATTTAGTTCTCAGTAATAATGAAAATCTAGTAAAAGATGTTGGGATTGGAGACGAACTAGGAAACAGTGATCATAAAGCCATATATTTTAACATAATATGGGATGGCAGGAAGAAGGAACATTCGGCCTTGATCCCGGATTTTAGGAAGGCTAATTACGGTAGCTTAAGGAGAGACCTAAGGGATGACCCTATGGTCAAAAGATTAATCCCCCCCACACCTCCGGAAACTGTCAACTTAGGACGGGATAACCCCGAATTTAATTTAGCAGCTATTTATGAACAATTTATTGCGACAATCAATAATGCCCAAAATAAACACATCCCTAAAAGAAAATTCAGATCGATACGGAACCAACCAAAATGGATGAATAATAGACTCTTAGATCTTCTAGGGAAAAAGAAAGGAGTATATAGAAAAGTTAAGAAAGGCGAAAATCACTTACTTGGTTACTATCAGAACCTAACAAGACAGGTAAAAACAGAAATTAGGAAAGCAAAGAGAAATTATGAAATCAAGGTAGCAAACGAATCGAAAAATAACCCCAAAGCTTTTTATCAACTGTATAAATCAAAGGTTAGAGATACAATAGGTCCCCTTAAAACTACGACAGGAGAAATGACTGATGATGAGTTAGAAATGTGTAGTACGTTAAATAGTCATTTTCGCTCCGTATTCACAAATGAAAACCTAGCACAGTTTCCAGAAGTTCATAAGGTATATAACGACAGTATAGAAAATATGTTGATGAATATCAATATTACTAGTAACGATGTGCTTAAAGTAATTAACAAACTGAAGCCTCATAAATCGCCTGGTCCAGACGAGGTATATGCTAGAATATTAAAAGAATGTAGAGATGAGCTGAGTAATCCATTAGCAGTTTTATTTAATAAGTCATTAGAATCGGGCCTAGTGCCAGAAGCTTGGAAACTTGCAAATGTAGTTCCGATTTTCAAAAAGGGTGATAAATCAATAGCATCAAATTACCGTTCCATTAGTCTCACGTCAATCATAGCCAAGTTGCTAGAGTCAATTATTGCTACAAAAATCAGAAGCCACCTTGAAACATTCAACTTAATTCATTCTTCTCAGCACGGGTTCACCCAGGGACGTTCTTGTCTCACAAATTTGCTTAGCTTTTTCTCAGAAGTATATGAAGCAGTAGATAATGATGAGTCATATGATATAATTTATTTAGATTTCAGTAAAGCATTCGATAGAGTCCCTCATGAGAGATTGATAAGGAAGGTGGAAGCACAATATCATCGGATGCCATTCGTACTGGCAGACTGGACACTCACTTACTTAACCAGTGTTACTAACACTAAAAACAGTTAAAGCTTTCAACATCACTAACAAAGGATCTTGTATGCTTTAACTGTAATCAGACATATCTAAGTTGACTCAAAACAATGGTGTTCTCTCTCAAATTCATATTTACTTTATAGAGAAGTTGGGGGTCAGGAAGTCAGAAAAAATGGACGGCACCTAAACTGGGAAGCAATGAGAAAACGGATGCCTCAGATGGGAGACTCGATAAGGAAGGCATAGTTACATGTTTTGTGGGCTATTGAGCGTAATATGAATCGTCTGATTTTACGATAACTGACGTGTACGACCGTGGTCATTACAGTAGTAGTAGTAGTAGTTATAGTAGTAGTAATAGTAGTAGTAATAGTATTAATATTTAATATTAAGGTAAATAAATGGTGGCGAAGGTGTGGCTATTGGGGGAGGCTGGAGGCCACGTTGAAAAAAAAAAAAGTAGTATTAGTAGTAGGAGCAGAAGTCAAAAGCAAAGTTTGAAGAAAAATGGCAGTAGCAACTGTAATAAATGATCTCTCTTAACCCATAACTACTGGACGTCATTTTTACTATTTTATTTAGCTAACGCCTTATTATTTTACTCACCACAGAGAGACCCCTCGTACCCAGTTGTTTGATAGTACAGTACACTAGTATTAATCTTACTAGTAATATTAGATATACTGTATACAGAGACAATAATATAACAGTTAGTGGTATTAGGAGTGATGTGATTATTGGTAGCAAATAAGTATGAAATATCCATAGGAATCGCTGATGAACTCTCAAATTAGATACAAAGAGTTACACAAATTAGGAGCCAACCACACAGACACACAGACACCAGGTAAAGATACAGACACCAGACATAGATACAGACACACAGCCAAAGATGCAGGTACACAAACAAATGGCTAATGAATATATATTTAGTAATAGTAGTTGGAGTTAGCGTCTTTCCTCACACACGAAAACAACCCACACATCTCTACCCAGACAACACTGTCACTAACAACCAAACACAGATGTAGAGTGCCACAGTAACTCAGATGTTGGTGCCACAGGTGTCAGAGAGTGCCAGGACAGCGGCAAATTCAGTGGTCGGAATCTTCAATGACCTCAGGGATAAGGTCAGTATGGCTACTTCTTTAATAATAATAATAATAATAATAATACATAAGAAATATCGATAATGGAATCAATAACCAAGTTTGTATTTAATATTTTTTTCTGAATCACCGAAAAATATTATCAAAAATGAAATAAATTAATCAAACTACCTATTGCTCCTTCGGCAGGTGGAATGGACATACCAGAAGACAAAGGACAAAGGAAAGAGACTCCTGAAGACGTTAGGACTAAAGGATTCCATTACTATGTGTCCTAAGCCGAATGGAATCTTTCCTTATCTCAAGGTATGATGGGCAGGGATGGTAGGGTAGAAAAGTAAATGGGAGAGGGAAGGATGAGGAAGGGAGAGGGAAGGAAGGAAAAGAGTAGATGGAAAGGGGAGAGGGAAGGAGGAGGGGGAAGAGAAGGAGGAAGGATTGGAAAGAGGAGAAGGAATGAGAGGAAAGGGGAGAAGAAGGGATGGGAATGGGGAAAGGGAAGGAGGAAGGAAAAGAAATGCGAGGGAAAGGAGGAAGGAGAAGAAATGCGAGGTAAAGGAGAAAAGAATGAAAAAAAAAAAGAAATAGAGAAATGGGAAGGAGGAGAGCAAAATGATAGAAGAATAGGGAGAGAAGAAGATTATACGAGAGAGAGAGAAGGGGAAAGGAGGAAAGTACTTAGTGTGTGTGACAGATGGATAATGGATAAAAACTATCCCATAACTCCTATAACCACTGCCCCATGACAACCATAACCACTACCTTATAACTCCTATAAACATTGTCCTATGAACCCCAATAAACACTGCTTTATAACACCCATAACTATTGCCCCATAACATCAATAATTATTTCTTCGTGACCCCATAAGAACTGCCCTATGACACCAATAACTAATTCACCACGACCCAATAACCTCTACCCCTTGACACCCATAATCACTGCCCCATGAACACCAATAATCCCCTCAGGACTGCAGTAAATTCATCAACTGTTGGCGTGGACGGCCGAGCCTACAAAGATGTGCCCCAGGGACGCTCTTCAATTATGCCAAGGGAATCTGTGACTTCCCATCCAAGACTGTGTGTTTCACGAGCAGATCATCAGTGAGTGAGTACCTAACCATTACGCCCAAACTTACACATGAATGCACTCTTGCCTGTATACCTACACCATGAACACTTTTTAGAATAAAGACTATGCATACACACACACACACACAAACACACACTCTCTCTCTCTCTCTCCTCAGAAAAGAATAAATATATTATAGCAAACCCGTGATTATAACATTAAAAGTTATTAATGAACACCATTCTCTTCTCCTCACCAAAGAGACCTGGCACCGTTTTACTGGGCAGGACTGTTTGTGTAGCACAGTAAAAAAAAGTACCACACGGATTATGTGCAAAACAATATGACACCAGGGAAGAGAGATAGTGGAATATGCGTGTTGGTCCTGTATTATGGTGGTAGCCCTGCTTCCCTTGCCTGAGGCAACTCGCTCGTGTCCGATACTTAACTGTATATGTCAACACTTGATGGAACACGGCCTATGACGCAGGTGTATTACACACACTATTTCATATGTAGTGCCTTGTAAGATAATTAATGCAATGGTGTTGATGATATTATGCGGGTCCTGTGGGACGTAACTAATATGACCATACCATAGGTATATCTCGACAAATCACACAGGAAAAAGGGAAATAATAAAGCACCTTATCATTCGTCTTTGTTCAAGGTGTCTTGAATAAAGACGAAAGATAAGGTGCTCTATTGTTTCCCTTTTCCTGTGTGATTTTATCGAGATTTATGTTGTCTACGTTTTCATTGTCGATCTACATGAACCATAGGTAGGTGGAAACCTTTGCTATACAGGCACCCATACCAACCTTCCCGTACACAATCCGTACACACTCACCCGGAACACACAGATAGATTGTTGCACACTTACGGACCGGACAGTTAGTGTACCTTACTTAAAGTCACATCTTAATGGACATAATTATTGAATATCCTAATATCTGAGAAGCTCTTGACCCTTAGTGGCAATATTATATTACTCAGAAGCCCACTTATCTATCCTATTGTATCTTATGCTCTCACAATAGGACCCCCCCACCCCCCTTCCGATGTTTCATCACGACACTTCTAATCTTCCTGTGTATGTTGGATCACACACAAAACCACAGTCAATTTAATTTCATTATATATATAGTAGTACAGTTGAGCAAAAGTGTTCCCATCGCCCCCTGTGGTAACACCGTGTCTCCAAACGGCCAACCAATATGACCTATAGCAAACCTATTCACCAATCACGTCCGTCGTTACACGACCAATACCCATTCATTCATAAACGGTGGTACTACTACTGCAACGTTGCCGTTTGGAGGTATGGGTTACCACAGGGGTGTAGAAACACATTTCCGCAACTTTACCAGTTTTTTTTTTCTTTGTACTGTTGTACAGTACTTCAAACAACTGCCAGAGCCCACTACCGCACAAATCTGGATTTCTTTAATTGCAAATTTCAACAAACGCTGCACCAATGTGACACATTCAATACACCAGAACTAATGTACTTCTTCTGCAGGGAGTGACACCGTCTCCTACGTGGTTCCTCCTTCATCGGGTCAGAAGATCAGGCTGCGGGGAGGTGAAGTACCCTGGGCCGGTTATGTTCAGGTGAGTGGTGTAATCAGTGTGGGTGGGGGGAGCAAAAAACCATGAAATATGCATGCAAATATGCACTAAAACAGGGGAAATATGCATTCATATGCACTAAAATTGTCACTTATAAAGCCAAGAATGCAGGTTATACGGAAACAAAATAGTTAATATAAACTAATGTTAATGTTTATTAAGCAATATACGTAATGTATTTAACATATATATGTGAAAGTGCTTCAAAAAATATATATGAACATGCATTTACATTTACATTACATCTCCCAACACACCAAAAATAAGATTCACAATACACCGTTGCTCAACATCAGTGGTTTCATCGAGTGACACCCACATTTTCTTTCCACAAGCCTTTCTCCTTATGATTTTCATCGTGTCCTTGAACAATTGTGAAACAGTTCTTACGTAATGTTGATTCGTCAGGCACCTTTTTTCCAGTATACTGTTCCAGGAATGACTTTAGGCACTTGTTATTCAGTTTATGCAATGGAATATCCGCTGAAACAAATGCCTTGCACAAATCTGCGTTGAACTGGGAACGATCAGGCCCTGACTTACTGGAACATGCAAGAAGTAGTTGTTGCTCCTTTTGTGCACTATTGGACTTAACAGCTTCGAGTCGGATGTGCTTGCTTGTTTTAAGGTGTTGTTGGACTTGAAATTTCTTGCTCGCTGTCACTGGTGCTTCACAATATTTACAAAACAGTACACTTCCATCAGTAGTAAATGCATCAAATTCCTTTACATATGATCTCAGCACTTCATTTTGGTTTCTTTGTACTTTCCGCATTTTCACGAGCAGCAGAGGAGAGTAGCTCCACACAGCAGCACTGCTCCTGACTGACTAACTCACTAGTCCAATGAGTCATGACCAGGTGTGGAAACGACAGATTAAAGCGACGTGACCTCACCTCACTTCACCTAACCACACCTCACCTCACCTCCCAGTACCACGTGTGCTCATTCAGTGGCAACAAAGAGATACTGCCAGATGAATATTTTACCAAAATATGCATTTATATGCAGTTATCTAGGTAATATGCACTTATCATAGAAATCACGCAAAATATGCATTTGCATATGAAATATGCAAATGCATAACTATCCGGGCCCTAGTAATCAGCATGGGAGATAGGGAGCTAGGTACATAGCTTGTGCAGGAGGAAGGGACGCACAATGAGAAGGAGGGGGGAAGCGGACAACAATCTCTGTAGTTCAGTTTGACGGCCGGTTGGTCTGTATATATGACTCCCGTCCCTATATGAGGGGCGTAAATAAAGACTGAAAACTTAAAATTTAACCTTTATTTGTGTTCTCCTCTCTTTTATTAATCCTGTTTATGTTTTCCTCTTTGTTTTATCACCCACTTATTCTCTATTATTTTCCGAGTGTTATATCAGTTGTTTCTTGTCTTTTCTTCTTTCTGACGTACTCCTTTAACTATTTTCATTCACTGTTTCGTCTTCCTCATGCTTTTAGCAGCGTGTTTTATTTTCCTCTTGATACTTATGTTTCATTATGATTTTTTTACCTAATGGCCTCCCCACTTAAAGGCTTCATGTCTAAATCTTCCTTCTTTCACATTTAATTTTATTTTTAAAAGAAAGATTGAGTAGGATTGGCGTACAAGTTCACAATGACTTAGCACACACATAAACAGTACAATATATACAAGCTCTCCAAAAATTATATACGTGTTTTCTTTATTATATCCGTGTTATACCTGAGAGAACTAAATTTGTTTCGTAAAGGTGAGTGGAGGACGAGGTGACTGGAGGATGGTGACGGACACCCCTCACCTGTGGACCAGAGACGAGGCCTCCGTCGTCTGCAGGAGCCTCGGCTTTACCAGGTGGGTGGCGTGTTACCTTCTCTCTCTCTCTCTCTCTCTCTCTCTCTCTCTCTCTCTCTCTCTCTAATCTTTTCTCGCCTTTGCAATAATTCATGAAAAGTGGGGAAAAACGGGGAGAGATGGGAGAAGAGAAGGATGGAGCGAGGGGCGCAGACGCTCAAAGGGAAGGGAGAAAGAAGTATCAGAGAGAGAGAGAGAGTGCGCGCGCGCGCGCGTGTGTGTGTGTGTGTGTGCATCAGAGAGTTTTATCTACCCAAAAATTAATTTATCAAGGGACGACATCAACACCTACAGCACCTAACAACATCTCACGCCCACGTGTCTTGCAGAGGAGCGGAGTCGGCATCCCAGGGGCGTACCTTTGGCCCGGTGCCTGGAAGGAGTGCCGGAGTGCGCCGTGTGGAGTGTGAAGGACACGAGGAAAATCTTCTACATTGCCGGTTACGATTAGGCACTCAAGAGGACCTCGATAAGACCGCTGTCGGTGAGTCAACAAGCACTACTGTTAGTATCACTCTTTTTATAACTATCATTTTTTTTATAAGTAAGCCCAAAAATAATTACGATTGTACTAAAAGCATTTTTTCAGGGAACATGATATTTGTGCACGCCCCCTCCGCCATTTAGTTAGAAAATTCCATTACTTTTTTTTAATGCAGTATTGTACTCAGGCATTTTTTTACAGTAAAAAGTAATTACTATTGACCTCAGAATATCTCCTAATATAAAATGCACATGGTTTAAAAATGGCCTCAAAATGCCCATGGCGATGAGTGGGCTCGCTTTGCTCGCCATGTTTCCCCCACCCAAAACTTCTTGGATCCCCTTTTGATATTCCTGCATCCGCCCTTGTAATGGCCTCCGTCCTGATCGACGCACGTGTGGGTTTTCTTACGACTAAAAGCACCATGGATTAATTTTGTCGTTTTCGTTGTTGCTGTTGACATGTACTCTGGTACCGCTGCCTCTGCTGCTGCTGCCTCTGGTGCTGCTGCCTCTGGTGATTTTGCCTCTGGTATTGCTGCCTCTGGAGCTGTTACCTCTGGTATTGCTGCCTCTGGTATTGCTACCTCTGGAGCTGTTTCCTCTGGTGTTATTGCCTCTATTTCTGCTATCTCTGGTGCTGCTGCCACTGCTACTGTTACCTGTAGTGTTGCTGCCTCTGGTGCTGTTACCTCTAGTGCTGCTGCCTCTGGTGCTGTTACCTCTGGTGATGCTGCCTCTGGTGCTGTTACCTCTGGTGATGCTGCCTCTGGTGATGCTGCCTCTGGTGCTATTACCTCTAGTGTTGTTACCTCTGGTGCTGCTGCCTGTAGTGCTATTACCTCTGGTGCTGTTGCCTCTGGTGCTGTGCTGCTGCCTCTGGTGCTGTTACCTGTAGTGTTGTTACCTCTGGTGCTGTTACCTCTAGTGTTGTTACCTCTGGTGCTGCTGCCTCTGGTGCTGCTGCCTCTGGTATTGATGCCTCTAGTGCTGTTGCCTCTGGTGCTGTTACCTCTAGTGTTGTTACCTCTGGTGCTGCTGCCTCTGGTGCTGCTACCTCTAGTGTTGTTACCTCTGGTGCTGCTGCCTTCGGTGCTGCTTCTTCTGGTAATGATACTCTGGTGCTGTTGCCTGGTGCTGTTACCTCAGGTGTGTTACCTCTGGTGCACTGCTGCCTCTGGTGCTGCTACCTCTAATGTTGTTACCTCTGGTGCTGCCTTCAGTGCTACTTCTTCTAGTGCTTCTTCTTCTAGCGCTGCACTCTGGTGCTGCTGCCTCTTGTGCTATTATCCTAATGTTGTTACCTCTGGTGCTGTTACCTCTAGTGTTGTTACCTCTGGTGCTGCCTGCTGCCTCTGGTGCTGCTGCCTCTTGTGCTAATATCCCTAATGTTGTTACCTCTGGTGCTGTACACTCTAGTGTTGTTACCTCTGGTGCTGCTGCTGCCTCTGGTGCTGCTGCCTCTGGTGCTCTATTACCTCTAGTGTTGTTACCTCTGGTGCTGCTGCCTCTGGTGCTGCTGCATAGTGCTTTCCGTACACTCTGGTGTTGTTACCTCTGGTGCTGTTACCTCTAGTGTTGTTACCTCTGGTGCTGTTACCTCTAGTGTTGTTACCTCTGGTGCTGTTACCTCTAGTGTTGTTACCTCTGGTGCTGTTACCTCTAGTGTTGTTACCTCTGGTGCTGTTACCTCTGGTGTTGTTACCTCTGGTGCTGTTACCTCTAGTGTTTATTTTTTACTCTGGTGCTGTTACCTCTAGTGTTGTTACCTCTGGTGCTGTTACCTCTAGTGTTATTTACCTCTGGTGCTGCTGCCTCTGGTGCTGCTGCCTCTGGTGCTGTTACCTCTAGTGTTGTTACCTCTGGTGCTGCTGCCTCTGGTGCTGCTGCCTCTGGTATTGATGCCTCTAGTGCTGCTGCCTCTGGTGCTGTTACCTTTAGTGTTGTTACCTCTAGTGCTGCTGCCTCTGGTGCTACTGCCTCTAGTGTTGTTACCTCTGGTGTTGTTACCTCTGGTGTTGTTGCCTCTGGTGTTGTCGCATGTGGTGCTGCTGCCTCTGGCGCTGTTACCTCTGGTGTTATTCCCTCTGGTGCTGTTACCTCTGGTGTTGTTGCATCTGGTGTTGTTGCATCTGTTGTTGTTGCATTTGGTGTTGTTGCCTATGGTGTTGTTGCCTCTGGTGCTGTTGCCTCTGGTGCTGTTACCTCTGGTGTTGTTGCCTCTGGTGTTGTTACCTCTGGTGTTGTTGCTTCTGGTGCTGTTACCTCTGGTGTTGTTGCCTCTGGCGCTGTTATCTCTGGTGTTGTTACCTCTGGTGTTGTTGCTTCTGGTGCTGTTATCTCTGGTGTTGTTGCTTCTGGTGCTGTTACCTCTGGTGTTTGTTACCTCTGGTGCTGTTACCTCTGGTGTTGTTGCTTCTGGTGGTGCTGCTCTTCTGGTCTTGTTATCTCTGTTGTTGTTGCTTCTGGTGCTGTTAGTCTCTGGTGCTGTTGCCTCTGGTGCTGTTACCTCTGGTGTTGTTACCTCTGGTGTTGTTGCCTCTGGTGTTGTTGCTTCTGGTGCTGTTATCTCTGGTGCTGTTGCCTCTGGCTGTTACCTCTGTGTTTGTTGCTTCTGGTGTTGCTTCTGGTGCTGTTGCCTGGCGCTGTTACCTCTGGCGCTGTTATCTCTGGTGTTGTTGCATCTGGTGCTGTTGCCTCTGGCGCTGTGTATCCTCTGGTGTTGTTGCTCTGGTGCTGTTGCATCTGGTGTTGTTGCTTCTGGTGCTGTATCTCTGGTGCTGTTATCTCTGGTGCTGTTGCATCTGGTGTTGTTGCTTCTGGTGCTGTTATCTCTTGGTGCTGTGCATCTGGTGTTGTTGCTTCTGTTGCTGTTATCTCTGGTGCTGTTATCTCTGGTGTTGTTTGCATCTGGTGCTGTTGCCTCTGGCGCTGTTATCTCTGGTGTTGTTGCATCTGGTGTTGTTGCCTCTGGCGCTGTTATCTCTGGTGTTGTTGCATCTGGTGTTGTTGCCTCTCTTTCTGTTATCTCTGGCGCTGTTATCCCCTGGTGTTATTGATCTGGTGTTGCCTCTGGCGCTGTTATCCTGGTGTTGTTGCATCTGGTGTTGTTGCTTCTGGCGCTGTTACCCTCGCGCTGTTATCCTGGTGTTGTTGTTTCTGGTGCTGTTATTCTGGTGCTGTTGTTCTGGCGCTGTTATCTCTGGTGTTGTTGCCCCGGTGTTGTTGCTTCTGGTGTTGTTGCTTCTGGTGCTGTTACCTCTGGCGCTGTTATCCTGGTGTTGTTGCATCTGGTGCTGTTGTTCTGGCTGTTGTTACCTCTGGCGCTGTTGCCCTGGTGTTGTTGCTTCTGGTGTTGTTGCTTCTGGCTGTTGTTCTGGTGCTGTTACTCTGGCGCTGTTATCTCTGGTGTTGTTGCATCTGGTGCTGTTGCTCTCTGGCGCTGTTACCCTGGCGCTTGTTGCCTCTGGTGTTGTTGCTTCTGGTGTTGTTGTTTGGTGTTGCTCTGGTGCTGTTACCTCTGGCGCTGTTATCCTGGTGTTGTTGCATCTGGTGCTGTTGCCTCTGGCGCTGTTACCTGGCGCTGTTATCCTGGTGTTGTTGCCTCTGGTGTTGTTGCTCTGGTGTTGTTGCCCTGGTGCTGTTACCCCCTGGCGCTGTTATCCTGGTGTTGTTGCATCTGTTGCTGCCTCTGGCGCTGTTATCCTGGTGCTATTCTCTGGTGCTGTTGCATCTGGTTGCTGTTTCTGGTGCTGTTACTCTGGTGCTGTTATCCTGGTGCTGTTGCATCTGGTGTTGTTGCTTCTGGTGCTGTTATCCTGGTGCTGTTATCTCCTGGTGCTGTTGATCTGGTGTTGTTGCTTCTGGTGCTGTTATCTCTGGTGCTGTTATCCTGTGTTGTTGCATCTGGTGCTGTTGCTCTGGCGCTGTTATCCTGGTGTGCTGCATCTGGTGTTGTTGTTCTGGCGCTGTTATCCTGGTGTTGTTGCATCTGGTGTTGTTGCTCTGGTGCTGTTATCCTGCGCTGTTATCCTGGTGCTGTTGCCTGCGCTTATATCTCTGGCGCTGTTATCCCGTGTTATTGATCTGGTGCTGTTGTTCTGGCGCTGTTATCTCTGGTGTTGTTGCATCTGGTGTTGTTGCTCTCTGCGCTGTTATCTCTGGTGCTGTTGCCTCTGGTGTTGTTGCTCTGGCGCTGTTACCTCTGGCGCTGTTATCCTGGTGTTGTTGCTCTGGTGCTGTTATTCTGGTGCTGTTGGCTCTGGCGCTGTTATCCTGGTGTTGTTGCTCTGCGTTGTTGTTTGCGTTGTTGCTTCCTGGTGCTGTTACCTGCGCTGTTATCCTGGTGTTGTTGCATCTGGTGCTGTTGCTCTGGCGCTGTTACCTGGCGCTGTTGTTCTGGTGTTGTTTGGTGTTGTTGCCTGGTGCTGTTGCCCTGGTGCTGTTACCTCTGGCGCTGTTATCCTGGTGTTGCCTCTGGTGTTGTTGCTCTGGTGTTGTTGCTCTGGTGCTGTTACCCGCTGTTATCTCGGTGTTGTTGCATCTGGTGCTGTTGCCTCTGGCGCTGTTACCTCTGGTTGTTGCCTCTGGTGTTGTTGCTTCTGGTGTTGTTGCTTCTGGTGCTGTTGCCTCTGGCGCTGTGTTACCTCTGGCGCTGTTATCTCTGGTGTTGTTGCATCTGGTGCTGTTACCTCTGGCGCTGTATCTCTGTTGTTGCATCTGGTGCTTTTTGCCTCTGGTGTTGTTGCTTCTGGTGTTGTTGCTCTGGTGCTGTTGCCTCTGGCGCTGCTTACCTCTGGTGTTGTTACTTCTGGTGCTGTTATCTCTGGTGCTGTTTTGCCTCTCTGGTGTTGTTGCCTCTGGCGCTGTATCTCTGGTGTTGTTGCATCTGGTGCTGTTGCCTCTGGCGCTGTATCTCTGGTGTTGTTGCCTCTGGTGTTGTTACTTCTGGTGTTGTTGCTTCTGGGTGCTGTTGCCTCTGGCGCTGTTACCTCTGGCGCT